GTTCAACGCTGATAAATGCAAGGTTCTCCACCTTGGGGGGAAAAAAACCCACCGCATCCTTATAGGCTCAGCAGTGCTATGTTGGCTAGCACTATGGAAGAAAGAGACTTGGGGGTCATCATTGACCACAAGATGAACATGAGCCTGCAATGCGATGCGGCGGCTAGTAAAGCGACCAAAACGCTGGCTTGCATCCATAGATGCTTCTCAAGCAAATCCCGGGACGTCATTCTCCCCCTGTAGTCGGCCTTAGTGAGGCCGCAGCTGGAGTACTGTGTCCAGTTTTGGGCTCCACAATTCAAAAAGGATGTGGAGAAGCTTGAGAGAGTCCAGAGAAGAGCCACGCGCATGATCAGAGGTCAGGGAAGCAGACCCTACGATGACAGGCTGAGAGCCCTGGGGCTCTTTAGCCTGAAAAAGCACAGGCTCAGGGGTGATCTGATGGCCACCTACAAGTTTATCAGGGGTGACCACCAGCATCTGGGGGAACGTTTGTTCACCAGAGCGCCCCAAGGGATGACGAGGTCGAATGGTCACAAACTACTTCAAGATCGTTTCAGGCTGGACATAAGGAAGAATTTCTTTACTGTCCGAGCCCCCAAGGTCTGGAACAGCCTGCCACTGGAGGTGGTTCAAGCGCCTTCGCTGAACACCTTCAAGATGAAACTGGATGCTTATCTTGCTGGGATCCTATGACCCCAGCTGACTTCCTGCCCTTTGGGCGGGGGGCTGGACTCGATGATCTTCCGAGGTCCCTTCCAGCCCTGATGTCTATGAAATCTATGAAATGTCTATTTCCTACATCAGCAAATCTTTCAATGGGAGTGTTTTGTAGAGCTTCATTGCAATTCAGGATAAGTAAGAATGATTCACATTTATATTAAACTTTTTGCCTAGAAGGTCTGAAAAACACTTTCCAGGATTCACTTAGTATGAATTAATAAGAAATCACTTCACTCACTAGAGAAATATGGCCATCTCTATGGTAAAACATGACAGTTGGCCAGAGCACAGAGCAACATTGCATATGGACTTAGGGAAGGAGTGAATAACTTATTTCAAGTGAACTGCACAGGGGATTTTAGGTCAGTGGAAGGTAATTACTGAAAAATGAACTTGGCCAGAATATCCAGGCTAACATCTGCACGATTGCAAAATAAATACCACAGATGTTTTAATAATGAATAACATGTGTGATCAGTGCCATGGTTTTACATCTGATCCAAAAGACTGCTCCTTCTTCAGCATGCTGTGTGGAGCATTGGCTTAGTACTAGTTCAGATCACAAAATCATTCTACTAAATCACCAAACTCTCATGCTGTGGCAACCTGAGGTCATCTTAGTGTTGTCTTGTTCATAAGGACTGGTGTTTTACTTAAGAGAATTCATGGGATAACAGCCCATAGAGGGCAACTCTTCATCATGCGGCAAAAAGTATAACCAAGACAACCCTCTCAACTCAATACATACACCCATTACAGGGGTAACAAGTTACATAATTTGGAGCTAATAGCATCCACTAATCTGATGAATTAATAGAAATAACTTTGTCTCTGTGTTTTATGTCAGGCTGAATCAGAAGAACCTTACATTTCAACATAGGGTCCAAGAACAGCTCCCTGCCCTGTCCCAAAGAGTGGTTTTTATTAATTTTAGCACTGACATCAGAATACAAAACTGGGCATGGTAGGTTATAAGACTCTAAGCAGGTCTCCAGAAAACTTCGGGACTCAGGAAGGTACCATGTCTGCTGGAGCTCCTTATCAGCAAAGGGAACAAGGTCTTAAAGCATACAATGTGGACTTCCCTCTGCCCAGCCAACTTTTCTGACCATTGTGGAGGAGGACAACTACATGAATTGGCTTTCTCCTTGTCTCCTCTCCAGTTCACATGGTCATAAAGCCTGGAAATGCAGCTGATTTTCTGGCACAGTCAGATAAAGAGGGAGACACCCACATAGCCTTGTACATGCATCTCCAGGTGTGCCATGGTGTTCTGAGGAGTGTGCTTTTTTCTGGGTTTCCTCTATACAGCATTCTACGTACACTTCAAGTACACTGCCCTTCTGATTTTCCTTTCTTTGTTTTAGAGGACATCTCTGTCAGCATTAGAACGATCAGAACAGCAGATCAGGAAAGCAGCCAGTCTAGAAGAGCTGCTTCGAATCACTCATTCAGAAGACTGGAAGCTGTGGAAATGCAGGCTAAAACTCAAAAGCCTGGCCAATTTTGATTCCCGATCTGCATCACATCGCTCCACTAGATTTGCTGCTGCTTTCTATGACATCGATACGCTAAAAGGTAGGTATATTGTTGTACATGAGTTCCCTGTCACCTATTTCACTATGAGGATTCCCAACTGTTGGTGCAAGTAGGGGTTAAATAAGCTGGCATTCTTAGAAGAGACCAACATCAGAGAGAAAATGGTGGATATGGAAAACAGCATAAAAAGGAGGAAAAAGTTAGGTAACAGCCTGAATACATCTCCATTTTATGTGCAGAGCTGGTTTATTGTTTTCTGTACACAATCCAAATGAAAGGTGTGTTAAGTATGGGCTTGTCAGTCAACAGAACAAGAAAGGAAGTAAACAGGCAGGAATAGCTTGGAATGGCTAGCTGCAGGGACTGCCAATAGCAATACGCTAAATCTTGGAATTTGCTTGTAGGCAGAAACAATGGACTTTACAGCTAGCACTGAAATTCCTAGTTTTATTAGGTGTGTTTTGATGTAAGGCATCTCATCAGCAGCTACATCTGGGTAGGAGCTGATTCATAAGGGGATATTGGCTTCATGCTGTTGAGCATGCTGGGAGAATTTCTGGACAGAGAGGAAGTATACAGAAACAACAGATGACACCTAGATGAGAGAGAGGGAATACAAATCTTTATACAGAATAGAATGAAAAAAAAAACCCACACTGGGCACAACTGCATGAGACTTTTACTACACAATTGACTAATTAGCTGCACATTAAACATCTCAGGGTCTACACATGCACCCCTGTTAGGCTGGAGTAAACTAATTTACTCCACAGCAGGATAGTACTTGTACATTTACAAGTAGTAATCTGCTTCAGAGTAAAAACTCCACAGCAGCACCCATGTAGACTCTGGAGGGGCTGGCTGGGGCATGAGGGTGCTTCAGGGCAGGGGCTGTCTGCTAGCTAGTCCTGCAGATGTTATACAACAGAGCCTTGCTATACAAGCTGTGACATAAGCAGGTGTAGAGATCCAGTCCTCGGGTGTGTGTAGACAAAATGGGGGCCCTAAATTGAAGCGGTGGCTTTTTAAACCCACCGCTTCAATTTAGGGTGAAATAAACCCCCATGCGTGCACACACCATTCTGACTTACCTGCCTCTCCAGTGCGGAATGGAGGGTGAGCTGCCAGTGGGCAAAGTGGTGACTGGGCTGCGGCAGCTTGCTGGGGCTTCCCCCTGCAGCAGTGGCAGCTCACCCCAAGCGGTACCCACCCGCAGGCACCTGACTTAGGCAGTCCAAGGGGGCACTGCAGCCACAGAGGGAAGTACCAGGCTGCCATGCAGCTCAGGCAGGCAGGCTCTGGGGACAGATTGGGGGGAATTAAGGCCCGCTTCTATTCTTGGATGGAGCTTGTTTTGCTGGGCTGCTGCCAAGCTGCCTGCTGGGCTTCCTGGAGAGCCCCTTCACTCCATGGCTGTAGGGGCAACAAACCAAAACTCCTCAAAGGAGTTTTAGTTTGCTGCACCCCAAGTCATTTAAGGTGCATTACATCGCCAAATTTCCTACACTGGCTGGAAATAATGTGCAATATGCCACCGAGGCGTGTAAACACCAACACCATTAAAGCAGTACAAAAGCATTTGGCTTGCTTTGAAGTGTCGTGCACACACGCCCCTTGTTTAATCTACACATGGCTTTTGACCCCGAAATGATGGAACTCAAGCCAGAGTATTCACTTCTCTGTTAGGAAACTAAGAATGAATGATCCTATTGTGATAGGGCTTTTAGAACACCCACAACCACTCTTTCATACATTTGCTTACTCTTTCACATCATTTGATTAAATATTTTAGTTATCTGGCTGTTTTTGGCTAAACTTGAATTTTAATCTCTGAGAAGGACCACAAAGACACGGACATAAAGGCCAATGTGAAATGCATCTGTATACATACAACTTTATAGAATTCAAGAAATTGCATAATTTATTATAAAGACAATAATATTCTAGCAGTGCCTGATGCAAGAGAGACTGGTAGAGAGAGTTAAAAGAGATGGATTTTTTTCAGAATATTTGCAAGAATTCTGTATAGAGGCATTAACAGTCTAGGGAACTATTTGCATCCAATATAAATTGCAAGGTTTTCCTGTAGAAATCCTGAAAGACAACTTTTAGTTTTCTCATGTAGTGAAATATCAGCATTGCAGAAAAATGGTGATCATTCATTTGTCTATATAACAATACAACAAATGACTGCATGATGTGGACTAAGGCAATATTCTATAATACGATTTATTAACACCAAAAAGAATATAATTGTTCATGTAACTAGAGCATGGGAACAAAAGAGAAAAAAGTGTAAGTGGATGAATCTGTACTGGGAAAAAACTCTTTAGTTCAGCCATCCATAGCTGGGGTGTTAAATGTGTGGATCCAGAGGGGCATGGCAGTGCAGTCACATTCCACTTTAGTTGTGCCACATGTAAGCTCTTGATCTGGGCTTCAGAGCCTGGGGAACGAACACTGTAGCTGCTGCTCATCCCCTCCTTTCCTCTGCTGCTGAATTCAGAAGGAAGGGGACAGAGAGGAAGGGGAAACAGCAGCAGCATTCATTCCCACGCTCCGAAGCAATGTGAAAGTAGGGGCTCCAACCAGAAAATGCTCCAATCAGTTGGTGAGCTTGTTGCTCTTTGCACACACAAACCTCTGGCAGGAGCCTCCACTGACCAGACAATGAATTCAGAGCACATTGCACTGCCAAAGTAGAGGGCTGCATCCACCATTTCCCTGTTCCTGGATCCACTACTCATGTCAAACACGCATTCGGACGGCCAAATCCGACCTGCAGGGTCATATCATCCAGATCACAGGGCCAGGAATTTGGGAGTGGTGTAAGTAGGGGGTGGGGTCCACCACCAAATGTAAAGGTACGGAGCCACACCGGGGACAAGCAACATCTGCATTAGCTGCCACTACATACCTTGCTGCCAGGTCCAGCTCATGAGGAGCCCTACAGTTTAGTCCAAGACCCGGGGGGGGGGAGGCTAGATGTAAATTGAGTTTGACACCTGTGATCTATAACAACTCTTAGCTAAGCACCTGTTGGGATAATGCCTGTAAAAAAATGTATTTCTTTCCTTTTTCTCTCCCAGTCAGTGGAGGAAGCCCTTTGAGTATATGTGAGTTTCTATTTAATGTGGTGTTATCATGAGAAAGTGAGGTCAAAGTGTAAGGTGCTCAATTACTCTTTCCAGGCACCACCATCCAAACTCAAAGTTTTAGTCCCCATCTTTGAATGAACTTCCCTTTGCATAATCAAGACCTCCCACAAACAACCAGGTTCCTCTAGAATAATGCAACTCCCAAGTGTGTGTGTGGGAGTGGGTTGGAGATGGGTTTCTTGGCAGCTGAATTGCAAATATATAACTCACTTATGGCTAAGATCAGAGTGACCATGAACCTTGGTGGTTTAAGAACAAAGTGTAAAAACCCATTCAATTCCTTCTTCTAGCCTCCCTACAATAGCTCTACCAAATGACTAAGAGGGGGAGAATACGTGCACTTGAAAAGGGTATTTCTGTTAACGCCCATGCAACTGACATCGTAAATGATTATGAAAGGGCCATGCAATGCCAAGTACACAACCCTTCTGGATTCACTACGCATATATGTAAACCAACAGCACTTAGTGTGGGATACCTGACATCAAATTTTCCTCAGTGAATAATAATAATAATAAATACAAAAAACCAAATTAATCTTTTTATCATAATAACAAATACAATAACAAATGAGCAGCATGAAAACCTTGCAAAGAAAAATATTAAAAATCACAATATACATGTGTATACATCAGATTTCTCGTTGACATCAAATAAGCTGCTAACCAACTTCACTATCCCTGATACTCTTCATATTCTCAGCCTGGTGACCAGCAGATTGAATCCACCATCTCTGGGACCTCTAAATTGATCCAAGGTGTTGGTTGTAGCTGTGTTGGTCTAATGTCATTTAGCTAGTCTAATAAAAGATATCACATTTACCCAAATAACCTTGCCTGGATTGATCTAACACACTTGTGTTATTTCTCCTTCCTAGCAGGCTCTCAGAGCAGGATGCATGCCTCTCTGGCTGAGAGAAAAGTCATCCAAATTTCTCCTTAACCTCTTTCAGTTCCTGGGACACTGAACAGATTTTTTTTTTCCTCTGTACCAGCAGGAGCCAGAACTCACCCAACCCCAATTAGTCTGTGTTTTCAGTAGGATAGTGTGCTATAGTCTACCAGGTCCTGTCCCTGTTCACAGACAGTTCTCTCAGGACACTTCCTTCTGGGGCCACACACCCCAACCTGGTGATCAGGATAGATTTTTTTTTCTCTCTTCTTGACCCCAGTGGTACTCGCAACATGACCACTAGCCATCATCACATCCCCACTGAGGAAGCTCAAGGTTTCACTCATCTTCCGAAGATGGATGCACCCCAAATTCTTGAAAGCCAAACTCATGTCACAGCTGTGTGTTACAACACAGGGAAGTCAAAACTGCAGGAGTGGTAGCTCTTACTGACGCCACAAAGCCTGCCATGTTTCAAGGAGATTGGTGCAGGAGCTTGGGGGGAACTGCACCCCAAGCTGCGGACAAGCAAAACTCTTGCCATGGGTGACCCTGTATGTGTTCAGGTGCAGCGGGGTGACAGCTGCACGGATGGTGGCCCCTGCTGAGGCCACGATGCCTGCCAGCTGTTGAGCAGATCGGTGCAGGGGGGTTCTGGGGCCCTGCACCCCTAGCTGCTGACAGGCAAAACTGGTGCCAAGACTGTGTCTTTCTTGGGGCAGTTGATTGTCTGTATTGAGTCTTTCCTCTCCTTAGCCTGGTTTTGTAGGTGCCAATTGATGCTCATTAAGTCATTATGTAGTAGCTAGGTCCTGTGTATTGAGTCCCTGGTCCCTGAGTGAATCATCATTGATTGATAGGTAAGTGGTAACACAGCAGCTTTGTAGCCAGGCCCGCAGTAGTGTCTCCCCTCCGTGCCCCAAGACAGACACAGTCAGTCCCACAGCACCCATGGCACCAGTTTTGCTTGTCCGCAGCTTGAGCGGCAGTTCCTCCAAACCCCTGCACTGATCTTCTTGAAACTTGGCAGATGTTGTGGTCTCAGCATAGGCTAACACTCCTGCAGTTTTTCACCCCACTATGTTGTAATGCCTAGAGGTGACATGAGTTTTGCTTTCAAGAATTTGGGGTGCTGTTCCCCTCAATCCCCTGTACTGATCTTCTTGAAACTTGACAGACTTCATCCTCTCTGCAGAGTATACCAGCGCTGAAAATTTCATCCAAATTGGACAAAAAACAACAAAGTTATAGATATTTTATTTGTTCCCCATTATACCCTATGGCCAGATCTCGGAGGTGGCTCCGAGGCGGCTCTTGACCGCTTCCGGAAACCAC